ATGCCCTCCTTTAACCTTGGAATCGAAACCCCCCCCCGAATCTTTAAACTTGGAATCGAAACCCCCCCGAATCTTTAGCTTGGAATCGAAAACCCCCCGAATCTTTAAACTTGGAATCGAAAAAAACCCCGAATCTTTCAGCTTGGAATCGAAAAACCCCCGAATCTTTAAACTTGGAATCGAAAACCCCTCGAATCTTTAACCTTGGTATCGAAGACCACCCGAATCTTTAAACTCTGAATCGAAAAAAACCCGAATCTTTAGACTTGGAATCGAAAACCCCCCGAATCTTTAAATTTGGAATCGAAAAACCCCCGAATCTTTAACCTTGGAATCGAAAACCCCCCGAATCTTTAAACTTGGAATCGAAAAACCCCCGAATCTTTAGGCTTGGAATCGAAAACCCCCCGAATCTTTAAACTTGGAATCGAAAAAAACCCCGAATCTTTAAGCTTGGAATCGAAACCCCCCCCCCGAATCTTTAAACTTGGAATCGAAAACCCCCCCGAATCTTTAAGCTTGGAATCGAAAAACCCCCGAATCTTTACACTTGGAATCGAAAAAACCCCGAATCTTTAAGCTTGGAATCGAAAACCCCCCGAATCTTTAAGCTTGGAATCGAAACCCCCCCAAATCTTTAAGACCTGGAAGGAAAAAAGCCGGAATCTTTAAAACCTGTAATGAATGGCTTTTTCCATTCCAGGTTTTAAAGATTCCGGCTTTTTTTCATTCCAGGTTTTAAAGGTTCCGGATTTTTCCATTCCATTTCCATTCATTTTTGAAAAAGTGGCTAAAAATGGACGAAAATTAAAGCTATAACCTTACTTTTTTGCCATTTTTTGCCTGTTTTTCAAAAATGAAAAAAGTGGCTAAAAATGGACGAAAAGTTAAGGGTAACAAGCCTTACTTTTTTGCCATTTTTTTCCCCTTTTTCAAAAACAAAAAAGGGGAAAAAATGGACGAAAGGTTAAGGGTAATCCTTTAACCTTTACTTTTTTCCATTTTTTTGCCCTGCAAAAAAGAATGGAAAATGGACGAAATGTGAGCGGGTTACTTCACTGGCAAAATGCTCGTCACAAGTAGAAATTCAACGACATTTCTGATGGGTTATTTGGGTCGTGTTTTCACTGATATTTCAAGGGTATTAAAACATATATCAAATGTAGCTTTACCTATTTAACAGTCTTTGCTGGAGATACAGAATCGATGTTTTTAATTCATTCCTGTAGTTAATCTCATGAATTTCCAAAACATTCAAAGTGGTCTTGGGAGAAATGTCTGTTGTATGTTCGATGCCATCGACTCTGATTCTTCTTGTTTCTTGGCCTAGAAGATAAATATGTGTGATAAGTTTTTGATAAATATTTATGATTATAATGTTGATAAGTCAAATTTATAATTTTGCTCTCGATTATCTTACTAGATTTTACTAATTTTGTCATTATACCTTATACTATCTTCCTCCCATGCAACCATATTAATCACATTTCTACCTTCCTTTGAAAAACACTTGAACTGGTGCCCTAATGTAATCAATTAATTATTGAAAACTGATAATCTAGGGGTCCTAAATAATTAAAGCTTTATGGTTCCTCGTTTTCAAATAGTATACATGTAAAAATGCTGTGCTGAGTGGTTATATTACTACCTTAAAAAAGGGAGGTAGTTGGATCCCTGCTACTAACTCTTGACTAAGGGCCTTCGCTCGAAACGTCGAGTTTCTGCTTACTTTTTAAGGTAGTAATATAACCACTCAGCACAGCATTTCTACATTGGTACTACCTACACTCAGGGATGGATCCAGCATGGTCTGGTAGGGGGGGGGGGGTGCTCCGCCAAAAAAAATTTTCGGAAAGCAACAACCTCCCCCCCCATCGACAACTTTTTAGGGAAACATTTTTTCCGGACGAGTACGTTGCAATTGCTTTCCAGTGACTTTACACATCCATCAACTTGCTTAACCACTGCAAAGTCTAGCTACAGTATTTGAATTGTAATTGTTGTTCACAGTTCGCTTATCATCATGTTATTACTCAAATTACTGAATCTCATTTTGTCTCTGATAATTTTTTGCTTTATCATGAAAAATAGCACCCCCCTGCACCCCTCCTGGCCAGGGCTAGGGAGGGTGTTCATCCTGCCTACACTGGTAGACAGTTTTAATATACATGTAAAGCATACCTTGAATAGAAGCCATTTTGAATTGTTTGCATAATATTTTAATCCTCCGATACAGCTTATGTGAAGAAACCACGGAAGATAACCTCCTATCAACCTTGCTATCACCACCAGCTCTTCCATCCTATAAAATAACAACACATAAAAATACATTACCACCATGCTTGTGTTTCCTTTACATCTATACATATAACAAACATTTCCAATTATTTGAAATCATTGTTCTGATGAAAGAAATTGGACCCGCCCATTTCCCATACATTTGGAATGAGAACATGCGCCTTTGGACAAGATAATGAAAACAATAGGGGGAGGGGGCACTGGGAATATATGATTGCCTGTGCTCCCCCTAACATTTGACTAAAAAGTCTAATTTTTTTCAAACCTGTTTTTATCACAGAGAATCATTGTTTTGATCAAAGGGGGACCACAGGAATTTTTTAAAAAATTGAAAAAAAATTCCCAACATACTTCAGAGTTTCTGAAAATTGTCCAAAAGCATTCCTCTGAACAAAACAATTACTTTCGACATATAAAAACATTTAACAAACAGTTCCAATGCCTCGAAATTGTTAAATTCAATGCTAAGACAAGTTAACCCAGTATGTTGTAACGCTAAGATTGTGTCTTGTTTCCTACCTTCCAATAAGCAGATCTCTGGTACCAAACTTCGCCATGTTTTCTTGACATGTTTTTAATCTCAAGCCATGTCGATTCTTTAAGAAATAACATTTGTCTGACCAGGTCATGATCCTCTATAAATAACATTGCTTCCCCCGTACCATCTTCAACTAGGCATCTATGCAAGTAAAGAAAACAACTTTTGAAATATAAAATATTCAGAATTATGGTGGAGTTGAAGCATAATGGATCATTTCCTGAGAACATTCATTACTCCTCCAGCATGGAGGAAATTGGAAGTTAACCCCCCTGTCCTGCCCTGTTCTGATGTACAGATAACTTTACGGCCAGCCTTACATTCAAGAACATCAGCCAGCACTACCTCGACATGATCTAATGCTTAATGAAGTTAGTCATCTGGGAGAGAACACAAGAGATGTAATTGTGTATGAACCATGGTAAGCATAACATCCGCACTACATTGTACAAAATAACTTCAGGGTAACTTTGTTATGACAACATTAACATGCACTACCTTTTACAATATGCACTATCTTGTACACCAGCCATGGTGATCTTAATAGTCTTTTAACACAAGTGATTCATAACTTTATTTATAGTATAACTTACCTTGCTTGAGCACTGAATACCCATGTCTGCGTCGTTCCACTGACGTGGCAATAACAGTTGCTAGGCAGCCGACCACACTTTAAGCATGTCCATTTAAGTGATATTTTCTGTATGGCAATGATACGACACAAAACATACGATAAAGTGCAGATCAGTTTGCCATGGCTTTGAAAATTGAAGTAGTCTATGATTCGACGCAATTCAATGAGCGAGCTGTGTTGAGATAAATTCTTCTTTGTTTGATTTGATGGTGGTATGGTGGTCATTGGAAGAGATTCAATTCTAATACTTGAACATGCTTCAAATGTTAGATAAAGGTTTCCTGTAAATTTAAATAAAAATAATTAATGCCTAAAGCCTTGAGAAGTATGGTCTATACCCATGTACACATTGTCAACTACAAAGGTGAGAGCACAGGTGCTCAATGGATTAACCCTTAAAGTCGCAATGCACCCTGATGTGCCCCACTTTATAAATTTACTCAGTCTGCCCATGCATCATGTTGACCCTTTAAATTGTATTATGTTCTCTAATGCATCCAGGGATGGATCCAGCATGGGGGGGGGGGTGCTCTGCCAGCTCTGGTGCCGAGTTGTGTCAGTCATGTGTGCCGCCCACCCATCAACTTGCTTGACTACTGCAAAGTCTTGCTTGACTGCTGTATTTGAATTGTAATTGTTGTTCACAGTTCGCTTATCATCATGTTATTACTCAAATTACTGTATCTCATTTTGCCTCTTAATATTTTTTTGCTTTATCATGAAAAATAGCACCCCCCCCCCCTGCACCCCCTCTGGCCAGGGCTAGGGGGTGCACCCACCCACAGTAAATCCATCCCTGAATGCATCCTACTTTGTTATTTTACTCAGTCTAATGCCAGATGATTTTACTTGACAAGGGAGAGCGCTGTCACTCAGTGGATTAATACTCATCTACATTGACTGACCTTGTTTTGATATATGTTGTTGCAAATGTCGAAATGTAACCACAGCCCCAGGGAGTAAGCCAATAGGATACATCCGAGTTGAAAAATCCAAATACATTTTGACACTGTCAGCAGTTAATATATCTTGAACTGTCAATACCATACTTCGGTTACCCAGGTAACAATATCCAAGGCCGAGAGCCGATGCATGAACAGCAGAGATAAGTCCATACCGAGGTAGGTACATCTGACCACTAGGTATGCTTGGAAAGGGGCACTGCTTATCATTCGAATGGACTGTGTCACGTGTGAGGATTATTCCACGAAGTGACACAAGGAATTTTGTGGATCTGAAGAGAACAGGTGCATTGTTATTAGTAACTGCAATCATGACATATTTTCATGCACGTTGTTCCCCCCCCCCCCCCAATTATCATTCTGGCTACGGCACTGCTGTTCCAATATGGAAATTTACTGATATTCCACTCGATATTGGTGCATTACTACATCTGGACAACCATAATCACACCCTTGCAAGGTAAGGCATTAGTTGGTTAGTGCTTTGAGACAATGAAACCGTGAAACAATATCTGCATGAGTCATTAATTGGACTAAATAGTCCGATTAATTTGTATGAGTCATCCAATAAGTCATCATTATACCCATTAGCATTATTTTAGAAAATTTGAAATAAAATATCTTGTCGGTGAATTATCCTGTTGGCCTAATGTCCTGTCGGCTAAATATGTCTTGTCGGCCAAATGTCCTGTCGGTTAAATGTCTGTCGGTGAAAGGTCCCGTTGGTCAAACGTCTGTCCGTCTAGTGTCTGTCGGCCAAATATCTGTTGGCCAAACATCCGGTCATAGACGTTTAATGGGTTAAACAAGTAAACTCAAATGTTTATAAATTGTAAATGTATAGCAACTTACTTGAACATATCCTTGGGTTTCCTATTTTCCCACTTTGACAGATACATTCTCACGCTATTGATTTCAGCAAACTGTTCAGCCAGTAGAGCCCAGTCTTTGTAATCATCACATAACAATACTCTAGTATTAATTTCCTCAAATCTTACATCCGAACTCATAGGAATAAGAGATATCTTTCTTTTCAATGCATGTTCAATCTGGCATGTTTTATTCGGGTGATCCAGTTCAATGATGTAATAAAACTTTCCTGGATGTAACAAGTCTAACCAACAACTGTTTGTGAATTCTATTGTTAGTTCTTGTTTTGTGACAGTTTTAACCTCCTTGACAATTTGTGATCCTAAATCACCACTTTTGTCCTGATGTGACCCCAGACCACCTTCATTGTCAGTTTGAGAAGTCAAATCATGTTTCGCAAGTATATAGCCATGAACGCAGGCAGTGAGCGAGGGTGCACTGTTTTTAAACTGGACCGCTTGTAATTCTTTGTGTTTAACAAGAAACACAAACCTGCAACCTGGCCCATTGTTCTTGTCATTCTTGACACTTTCCTCCACTTTTTGCTTTTTGGAAACAACCACAGTATCGGATTCTGGAACCTTTCCAATAATAATTGCATCAAGTGCTGAAAATACCAAATATATGTTTCTTAAAGGATCTCTTTTATCTGCTTCTTCATCACTGATAGTTTCCAAACCATTGAAAGTTTCAATAATAATTTTAAACGACGTCAGTTTCAGAATTGCTCCAAGATGGGTTGTCTGTGGCAAGGGGCAAATTGGTTTAACTTTGTCTGTGCGAGGTAAAATTGGGCCGTTCATATCATGTCTAGAATATGGTAAGAAGTAATGTTTTAGGAAACATTTAAGATATCTAGCATAACCATTCGTCAAGGATACAACAGACCACATTGGAACCTTAGATAATCCCAGACAGTATATGCTGGAGCGAATGGAAACGTTGTGTCATGAATGCAATTAAATTGATCATATGTGACTCGAAATCAATCCCGGTTAAAGGTGCTAGATTTTGGTGTGGAAATGTTCCGGTCGTGCATGTAATTTCTTTGGGGAATTACATTCATTTAATGGTGCCCAAATGTGCCTATATACTTCATATATAATTTCACTTCTGCTCAATGCCATTGATTTTACTCATGAACGGGAGCTCTAGCTGGAGGAGAGTCTAACTGAGAGCAAACAAGTCTGATATTATACCCAGTTACTAATTAACCAGACATGCCAGCCTTACCTGTTTATTAAGCATCCAGCATCACACTTATGAATGGTTTCTGAAACTTCACTTTCAGTAATAAGACAAAGAATACTTGAGGTACCATCACAGAAATACAGCTTGCCATTCCCATTTTTTATCCAACCAAGCAAAATCTTAACAAAAAATTCTAATTTAGTTTCCTATACGTAATTGCATATTTTCCTCCTCGACTTCCAGGGAGGACAGTTTAGAACTTATGGAGCTATTCACTCGGAGTTAAATAGTTTAGTCTAGTTCTTAATTTTTTTCTTCACTACTGTTAGTTCACATACCACATTCATTGGAAGTTCTTCTTGAGTTATTTCTTGATAATTCCATCCATATTGACCTCTTGCTAACCCTGAATGTATCTGCTTATCCCTGCAAGTCCTGAGTTCATCCACTAAGCTTAGGAAATCTTTCAATGTCAGGGGGGTTGGGATAGGTATTTGATGCATAGGCTTTGTCACGATACAGTGGTGAGGGTTGCTGAAGAACTCTTCAAACATGTCACGTGATGAGGGTGATGTCAAAGTTTCCAGGTCAATCACATGGGAGAGGATGGTAGGAGGGGCACTAAATTTTAAAAAAATAAGAATTAAACTGTGATGTACAGTCCTAAAGCTGCATGTCTATGTGGGTTTCATTAAGTACTATCGAGCGACAGATGGTATTGTATTGTGAACTTTATTTAGTCACGGTGGACTCATCAGGATTTTACACACTTATGATAAAGTAACAAAGGAAATTAGATATATGATAAATTATACTATACATATTTACAAAACTACCTGTTTTTCATGAGTGCCGTGCATTAAATTGATAAAATTAGATAAAATATTTAAAAATTATTGAATAAAGTTGCTACAGTCAGACTTAAATTTATGTAAAGTACAAGCCTGTCTTAACTCAGTAGGAAGAGAATTCCACAGTACTGCACCGCTATAACTAAAGCTATTTTTCAAGTAATTAGTACGCGGTAGTGACAAAGCTAGTTTGTTACTGGTGTCTCTCAATGCATAATTTGTGATACTATTGCGATCAACAAACATAGTAGAAAGATAATCTGGAGCAAGACCATTCAAGGATTTATACACCATGATAGCCTTGGTAAGCCTACGCTGAGATACAAGATTTTTCCATCCAAGACTTTCGAAAAGATAATCGGCATTTGTATCATAACTAGAAGATGTCAATACCCTGGCAGCACGATTTTGTAATTTTTGCAATTTGTTAACTAGATAACTACTGCAACTATCCCAGACAGCAGAGCAGTAGTCGAAATATGGTTGAACTAAGCACTTGTAAATAAGTTGCATTGTGGTAAAAGGAACATAAGGTCTAATGCGTTCTAGTGCACCAATACCGGAAGCAACTTTTTTACTCAGTTTCTCAATATGAACATTCCAGGATAAGTTCTCATCAATGTGTACGCCGAGTGATTTTGTATGAGAGACTTGTTTAACTGGAACGTTATTTATTACTAATAAAGGAGTAGATTGAAAAGTGTTTATTCTTTGGCGAGAGCCAATTAGCATAAATTCCGTTTTAGTCTG